TCGTTGACAGGCTATGACAGCGTCCTTATGTGCCGACACCGATGTTTTAGCTAGCAAAGCAGCGTGGCTGATGTGCAGGATCTTGGATGTGCGCCGGCATGGTCGTGGCTGCCAGTCTTGGGTAGACTGGGAAGGGTACTGTACCTCAGAGTAAAAAGACTGCATGTGTGAAATAATGTCAAGGAGATCTGTCGAAAAAATTAGTTAAAAATCAGAGAAGAGAACCGATCAAGAGACTTGGTCCAGTTGAAGATGTGCAGACTTTTTAAGCAGTCACTAGAATACATGGCAGGGAAAACAGATTGAGGTGGATTAAGGAATCTGCTGATAGTGTCAAACAAAAACCTTTGATTGGATTTATTACCATTGATCAAAACAGCAGAATAAGATTTTGTGTCTTTTATGAGTTGGTTAAGTATGTTTAGTAAGTCCTTCATATGGTGTCATTATCCTCCTTCATAATTGTGTTTATTGTCTTACTTTTGGTTGCATCCTGTCAGTCCCTGTGATGAACTGAGCGTGGCCTCCTCCTTCCTTGGCCATCCCATTGATGAGAGCCGAGCTGGCCCCTTCCCCAATCCCAAAAGAGAAACACCTGCAATACAACAGTTTTCTCTGAGTACACAGAGGACATGTTGGACATTCTGGGAATTGTGTAGATGTAGTTGTTTTTTTCTGGTTTGCGAGAATACAGCAGTTGTTTAAAAAACAGACACACTTGGCATATAGCACATATAATCACATATTTTTGTTTTACCTGTGGGAACCTGAATTCTTCTTCACCAGATCGATCACTTCTTTGGTGTTCCCCACCTCTCCATCAGTAAAGACAAACAGCTAGAGAGCAAAGTTTACACATAAGGACCTAACACCAGACCCACAAACACACAGCTTGTTCTGAGAGCTGAGTTAGTTTTCAGAAATAGTAACTGGTGCTGTGTTTTATTAGTGCTTTTCTACTCTGCTTGAGCACTCAAATCTCTTTATGCAACATGTCTCATTCACCTATTCAAATAAAATAGGTGAATACAAGCCCTTTTTTCTATGGGTTTCTATAAAGCAGTAACATGCGCATACTCACTCTACATCATGGACATTGGGATCAAGAACACATTGCCATGCAGCCAGGAATCGAACCACCAATGTTCTTATGAGCAGATTATCTGCTGCACAACCTGAGCCATAACCACCCTAGAAAAGTGTCCCACTTTATGTGTTACCTGTCTGGGCTGATTGGGAATGCAGGGCTGGCTGTAAATATGTTTGATGGGCTCCAGGATCTCTGTTCCTCCAAGATCAGCCTCCATCTGCTCAACTTTCTTCAGAGCCTCCTCCATGGTCTGCTGGCTGTACTCCACACTCTTACTGCCATCACATAAACACATGCACCAAAACATCCATTAAGATAGCTTAACAAGGACAGCGGGGCCTTTGTTGTTGTTGTTGAGACTCACAGGAAGATGTGTTCATATCTGGACCCAAAACTGTAAATGTTGAAATAGCAGCCAATTGGTAAGCTCTTCAACAGGAGCAGCAGAGTGTCCTGAAGGGAAGAGGGAAAAGATGGTGAGGCCACTGTGTGAGAGGAACGCTGTGAAAGAATATCTATCTAACATGAGTGTAAGAACAAATGATGGATACCTTGGCACTGCGGATGCGAGTATTACTCATACTTCCAGATCGATCCATTAAGAACACAAACTCCCCAAATGAAGCCGTTGAAGACATCACAGACTGGGGGAACTCAGGGTACAGACTCACCATCACCACTGGATCACCCATCAGGGAGCCTGAAAAATCAGAGACAGAAAAAACTTAAAACAACATCGCCTTTAAGTGTTTATTC